CCCCTCTGTCCACCAGCACTAGGACACATTGTACACTCATGGGGGACCAATGGATTGCTAATTCTACATGTGGCCTCCAGTCCCCACCTCGTCCCCCAGGGCAGGGGCCTTGACCCCTCCCTCAGTCGAACTGCAATGCCAAATGATCCGCCTGTCGGGGCAAGGGCCCAGGCAGAGCCTGAGTGCCATCCCCCAGGAAGTCTTGCAGGGACACATGCTGGATATGGGGCTTTGCCTCCAGCTTCTGTGTCCTGGACCTCAGAGGCTAGAACTGCTGCTCTGGCTCTAATTGGTGCCACAGTTCTAACAAGATCCTATTGGACTGCCCATCAAGTTTTTCTTTCACTACCCGGCCTTTATCAAATCAACTCACATCTAGGTCCTCAAGACTTCACAGGGCCCTTTGCACCTCTCCTTTCAGTCATAGCTCATACTTGCTTCTGTGCTCTTACTGTTTCAACCTCCCACAGATTTCCTAAAGTGGGGTGGGGGGTGGCAAGAATAGTCCCTAGGGACCCAAAGAGAGATGGGGAGCTATATGGAGCACCATTTCTCATTCCCATGGTGAACAACTCCTCATTGGGGCCTGAGGGTCCATATTACAGATGATATTTTTCATGTCCAATTCCCATAACACCTGCTGGAGTTCTGCATACATTTTTCCAGCTAGTGGGTAACTATGGTAAATCATCCTAATTAGGCTAAACTGTCCTGATGGCTGTTGTCAGCGAATCCAAAAGCACATGATTCCTTGGGGTATGACAGGCACTGTGCCACCACTGCCAGAGGGAAGGGTGAGTCATCAGGGAAGCAGTCTATGCATTTCAGAACCCGACATAACAATGTTTTGCACCCCCATATCCCAAAGACACAAAAGCCATGCAGGCAGAGATTCTGATGGCTTCTGCCAAAACCAGATGCTCATGCCCACCAGCTCATCCTTGGTATAGGGGTGGAGCTCAGAGTGCTCCACAACCTGGGGAGGGGGCTGCTCCTCTCCCTGTGGAGCCCATGGCTGTTGTTTTTATTTTCGTAATTACAATTGGGTGGGCCTTTAATACCAGAGAGGCCTGTGCCTCAGGCGGTGGCCTTGGCAACAGCTCCACCCTTGGCCCCAACCCCTCATCCTTCCCTGACGTCTCCTCCACCATCTCCGGGGTTGAAGGCACCCCTCCTTCCTCCCCCTCTCCCATGCCTCCTGCAACACGGATTCTCCTGCTGCCTCCTCCCTCACTGCTGCACAACCTGTCTTCTCAATAACCATTTCTCTTAAGGCATCCCATAGGTCATTGCCCAGCTCCTCCAAGCAACACTGATGTGTGTCTCCTTAATGACCCTTTCCAATATCTCAAGAAACAAACATCCCACAGTCCCAGCCACCACATGGCCACTCAGGGCCTCTAAGCAGTCTTCTATCTCACAGAGGGCTAATTCCACAGCTTCCAGTGTCTCCCCAGAATTGGGGAAGGGCCCACCCTAGACCAATTCCCCACTAGGGGCTCCCCAAGTGGAAACCCTACAGATGCGGGGTTACTAGGAGAAGCTGCATCATCCACCACTGTCAGAGGGAAGGGTGAGTCATCACCCCCCACTGCAACAGCCAATGGGGCCTCTCCACCATCCACAGGGGGGATTCTGGGTATCTCCCCACCATATCTAGGGGCAGCCCACCCAAACGTCACACCCATAAAGACAGATTTCAGGTTCAGAGATCCTGCCAACTATGCCAGGTGTAACTCTGGGGGAAAAATATGTTCCCAGCCCAGTGCAAATAACTTTTGAAGTCAAAGGGAGAAATAAAGTGGGACAAACTCATTTATTACTTACAAGCAGTTGTCTACTGCTGCTCACCTGTGTCTCTGGTGACCTGGCTGCAAAGAAGCCAAAATACCTCTCTGGTCCAGGTGCCTGCTTGCTCTCCACCTCACCCCCACATAATCACCTACTGATATGGAGATGGACTACTACCCTCCACCCCTTGGGAACACCTACTGATATGGAGATGCACTAAGGCCAGGTGAGAGATTCTGGAAATATTGCAGTTTTACCCACAATTTCTCCCAGCCACTACCCGCAGTGAGTCTCTGCTTACCTCCTGTGCTCTAAGGCCCCATCACTTTGGCACATGCAGGGCTCTTCTTTTTGTTAACTTCCTCTTTTTGTCAAGATCGAGCTCAGATTATTACCTCCTTTCTCAAACTCCGTCAGTGTCCCTAGATAAATGGAAAAAAGAAAAATGACAGAGTGGCCCTGCTGACTCTGGACCACTTCCTGGGAACTTTGTGCCCTTGTCACATGGCTTTTTGTCTGATGGTCTGTCTCCCTGACTAGACTGAAAGCATTGGAGAGTGACATTTCCATATTTGCCTTTGCATTCAGGCATGTACCGCACAGCAGCTGCTCAATGAATGCTGTTCCCTTTACTTTCCCTCCCTCTCCCAAGCTATCCACCCTATTTTCAGGCTGAAATAAGTTTAAAGTCCATGGAAATTGGGAAACTGTATTGACATGTGAGCTAAGCCCTGATAAAACTTCACTTTCTGTATATCCAAGATCACTTAGTCTCTTCTGAACTCAACTGCTTAGCCTAGTTCTTTTCAGGGAAACCAGGACAGTGAAGAGTTCAGATCAGGTGGACAGAAATCCTGGATTAAGTGAGACAATACTGCTTCTCCTCATTTTCCTAAGGAAGACCAGAGAGGCATTTTCCCCCTGTGAACAAAATATCTCTGGGACTGTTTGGAATATTAGGTAGAAAGATAGACATGAACAGCTGGAAAGGCTAAATAAGGCCCAGGTAGGGGGTCCCATGTGAAGACAACAACAGCTTTGCAGGGAGAGAACTTCCTTCCCAGCAAGATCCCAACAGCAGCACAATCCAACAGATCTAAGGACCGCCCAGATCACAGCTCATCATGGGGAAAGGACACGCTCACTGAGAGCAACGACTGCATGGAAAGCCCTGTGGATCAAATAACTGCACCTTGTCAGTAAAGAGGCGCCTCCTAGCCAGAATGCAATATATAGGCCTCCCTCCTAGGGGGTCAAGGCCTTGTCTGCCTTGACTCTGGCCCGCTACCCCCGCTTGGAGCGTACTCCAGTAAAACTTCTGCTCTGCTTTGCTACTGTGTCTCTGCCTTTCAATTCTTTGTTGCAGAGGGAACCAGAAGTGAGAGGAGCAAACCCAATCTGTAACAATTCCTATGCCCCGCCTGGGGAGGCCATGGAACATTGGGGTTATAAGATGTGCTATATGCAAAGCACAGGCAGTTTTAGAAACAGTGACAAGCATATATGGGAGACCAAACCCAGCAGGCTAAGCAGGGAAATCTATGTGGAAAGAAATGGGCAGAGAGCTTAGGGTGATGGAGGTTGCAGTGGTCAGCCCACCCATTTTTGTCAGGGCTTCTTTGGGAGCCTTAGGTTTGTCCTATAACTCAGGTAAAGTCTGAATCAAAGGCTCCGATCCCAGAGCCTATTTCCTAGCTGTATTTGTGATATAATGAGTTGTCAGAAATATATATTTGCTCATTCAGATGACCACTATATAACTCTCAGATACATTTGGTCTTCATCCACAGTTCCAGAAAAATGCTTCAGAGCCACAGATTTCGAATGAGTGTCTTGTTATGTTAATGGGTCTTCTAGACCCCACCCAAGGGTAGGAGTTGGTTGCCAGGGGAACTAACCAAGTGCATAGAGGGTGGGAACACTCAGCCCCCAAACCTCAAGCTCTGGGAGGGGAGAGGGCAGAGGGCAGAGGGGTTTGAGGTTGAATCAGGCAATGGCCAATNAGTGTCTTGTTATGTTAATGGGTCTTCTAGACCCCACCCAAGGGTAGGAGTTGGTTGCCAGGGGAACTAACCAAGTGCATAGAGGGTGGGAACACTCAGCCCCCAAACCTCAAGCTCTGGGAGGGGAGAGGGCAGAGGGCAGAGGGGTTTGAGGTTGAATCAGGCAATGGCCAATGATTTAGTCCACCATGACTATGCAATGAAGCCCTCACGAAAACTCACAAAAAGGGCATTTTGCTGTCTCTTTCACTTGCATCCTGCTTATTTGTCCAAGAGAGCTTCCACATGCCACCAAGCCAGACCCCAAAGCTCCATGAGAATAGAAGCTCCTTTATTTGGGATCTTCACATATATATCTCTTCAACTGGCTATTAACTTGTATCCTTTACAGTGTCCTTTCTTAAACTGGTAAGTAAATGTTCTCCAGAGTCCTGTGAGTCATTCAAGCAAATTAACTGACTCTAAGGGGGAGGCTGTTAGAACCTCTGCTCTGCAGCCAGTGGGTCAGAAGCACAGACAACAGCCTGGGGATCTTGACCAGACTCTGGAGTGGGGGTGGGGGTGGAGGGCAGTCTTGCTGGACAGAGCACCTAACCCGGGGAAGCTGGTGCTGTCTCCAGGCAGATAGCACCAGAATTGAGTTTTTGGACACCCTACTGGTGTGTGGGAAAAGCCCCTTCCCCACACACACTGGAATTGGGTCCAGGAGGCAGAAAGAAGTTGATGTGGAACTCAGTGTCCTCACTCCTAATCACGTCAACAGAAGCTGGCATTTCCTGACTCATGCCACTTAAAGGCCCACATCTTAAAGGTCAAGGTCACTCTCCTGATTTAGGCATATGGCTCTGCTAGATGGCGTTGTATTGCCTCACAATGGGGTATTCCCACACTTGCTCCTCCTCGTTCTGTGTCTTGCCCTAATAAAGGCTGCTCCAACAGGCCTGCTATGTGCTATGGGCTCATTACTTTTTTGCTTGGCTAAAATCATATTCACAGAATCCTTGAGAAAATATTGTCATGCCCTGTGCCCTGTCTGGAGACATAACTGTGGTAGAAGGGAAGGCGCTAGCTGGGAGGACCTTGATTCTAATTTATTGGTATCCTGAGTGCTTTGTACTCATAAGTTCATTGCAATGCACACATATGGTTCTGCTAACCTGTGGAGGGTCCACAGAATGCCTTAAATGGGAAGAATGACGCAGCCTAGTAATGCCACAGTTTATTTTGGACACAAGCTTTTAGAAAGTCGTCACTCCACCATTTAAAATCTTCATCTCCTAAGGCTGCAAATCCAGGGATAGGGGATAGCCAGGAATAAGCAGTGAAAGAGTCTTGCTCTTATGCCAAGAACTGGATTCATGGATTCATGAGAAATCTTCTGGGGCTGGCCTCCAGTCCACCTTTCACACGTTGACAGAACCACCCTTCAAAAATATAAACTTGGTTATGATATTTCCTTTTAGAAACCTTTAGCAGTTTACCAAACTCTTTGGAGGCAGCTCCTCCTCTTTGACTCAAGCTTGTGTGATTCTCAACCATTCCAAGACGCTGTACCTTCTACCTTCTAGTCACTTTCCTATCATCAGCAGAGGGCCCACACTTGTCCTATCACCTGAGCTGCCCTTCTAAACTTTAAGCGTCCTTTCAGCTTTCCCTTAGATGTTCTCCACTCTGACAAGTAGACCAACTCCCCAGCAAAGACTCCTCCCTTTGCTCCACAAAACTTGGTAAAAATCTGTACAAAGCATTAGTCACTATAATTATATATAGGTCTCCCTGACCTGGTTGTATTTACCTTTCAATCTCAACTCCAGCAAAATGCTTGCCTGGCACAGGAGAGACTCCGTAAATTGGGGTACCATTTTTTGTCCCTTGTCCTCCTTGGATCACCCATTTTCCAGGAAGAGATAAACCCCTTTGGTCGGGGAGAGGAAGGAGGGTGAGAAACCTTTTGCTAAAAATGACCTGTGAATATAGGGTCATGGTGACTTGTCTCAACCGAGTCCCTTGGGGCTGTCCTGGGATAGGACCTCTCTTCTAGGAGAAGGCCGCAGCCAGATGTCCCTCTGTCATTCGCTTCCAGCCCCTTTCTCCTGGAGTTATGCAGACTTCTGTGTGCAGGGGACATGTGAACCTCTGCCTTCTCTAGTAAAGTCCACTGGGGAGTTGTCCACCCCCTTGGTCATCTCTTGACTGATTTATACTCACGTTGGAGGAAACATGTTTGCAGACATGACCACATCCATTGCTGCAGCATTTTGATCCCTCTGGACACGACTCATCTCCTGTGCACATTTCAACACAAATCCCAGCAGTATCTTTGGGCACCTCTGGGCAGACTCCAGGTCTTTCTTTCCCTGAAACACATGTGCAACAGGTACTAAGACAAGCAAGAGAGCTGGTGCTCGAGGCCAGAAGCCCTCACTGCCGGCAGGGCTCCCACCTCTCCCATGTCTTCCTCCATGCTCCAGGCTCTGTCCTCAGCTTAGCAGCTGACTCTTCCTCTTAAACCCCCATGTTCACAGCCTAGCTCCCGGGTGAATGTTCTCCCTGCTCCAAAGGCTGCACAGCCCAGCAGGCAAGAAAACTGAACTTTCATAACCCTCATCTTTGCACCTTATAAGAAGCTAGTAGAGAGTCTCTGATCACAGCCAGCCTCACACATACCTCATACTCATCCTAGAGCTACTCTCTGTTGGAGACCCACATCCAAGGCACATCTCTTAACTAGACAGAACCTCGGTTTCTAATCAGACCCAACCCAATCTGAGAAGAAGCAGAAATGCAGAGTGATGGCTGCTGTAGGTTAAGAAAATGAGTCTGAGCTATGCCAGATCTCCATTCTGCAGTGCGCACAACACCTGCTGCTGTGCACAACCACGCCCAGGTCTGAAGTGGGGCTCTGAGCCATCTCTGCTCTCATGGGGGACCCCCCTGTCAGCACCTTACCTCTGAAAGGTCTCTGAGCACAGGCCATCTCCAGCCCCATGGTGATGAAAGCCACCAGCACAAAGATTGTACCTGTCTTCATGTTGGCCTCTGATGTGATGCACATGCAAGCCCAACCCCGATTTATACCGTCAGTGTCAACAGAAAGGAGGGTGGGGTGAGAGGCAGTTGAGTGGGAAGAACATAAAAATGTAAATTCTCTAGGCAGTGCTCCCAGATGACCCAGTTCCTTTGCTCTGTTTTACAACCAGTTTCTCTCTGATTGAGGCATGGTTTCTTACAGAGGCAAATGCCAAACAGGTGAGTTTGGGAACACTAAGCCCATTCATTGTTCATTGCTACATCCCAACAGGGCACTGATTTCTCTGCTGGTTGTAGGAACTGTGACCAAAAAAAAAAATTCTTTTCTCCTTTTATTCTAGAATTTCAGAGTGATAACTTAAACCATAAAGGCAGGTGTTATTTGTTAGGACCCCTCTGGGGCCTCCTAGAGGTCTGGTTACATGGGAGAGATGGCGGATGTGTGCTTTGGAGCCACCCCCAGTGCTGAGATCACTAAGCAGGTGCGAAACATGGGCCACCCCTTAACCAAAAATATAGTAATAGGCAAGCAGAAGTCACTCATCCAAAGAGACAGATGTTCAAGGATCACAAGCTGGCCAGGGCACCAGGGGCTTGAGAGACAGGGTCCATCATGATGGTTGGTGGCCCTACCCTGCTCTGTACCAATAGGTTCCCAGAGACAGAGAGCTGTGGGTGTGAGCTAAAGTGAGCTGAACTGCAGGAGGAGAATATTAAATGTCTCATAAGAGCCTGATTAAGACACCACCCTCTTTCTTATCCCAATTGCAGAAACTCAAAGAAAAGGGGTATAGAAGTTAAAATCTCGGTAACCTGAGGAGTGAAAAGAAAGCCTGCTTTGTCCTTGGTGGTCAGAGCTGGACAAGCAGGCACCTCATGACCACCTGGGAGGACGCCTGGACAAGCTACCTTAAGGGCAGAGACATCCTAAGAGAGGAGAACCCGTACTAGCCATACCAGGCATTCAGTTCACACCCAGCATCTCAGAACCTCTGGGGGCATGAAAGTTACAAACACGGAGCAGAGACTCCTCGGTGTGAGGGAGGGACCAGGATACCTGGAGAGGGCAGGGTAGCTCAGTACAGGGTGGAGATCAACGCCCCAGGAAGCGAAGGGCAAGCCCAAATCCAAACCCAAGGTGGCTGGCCAGAACCCAGGCTGCTGAGTGGCATGGCTTTGATGAGGAGATGGGCCTAAAGCCAGATGCCCCCCAGAACTTGAAGGAGAACCTTCCAGAGCACTGTTGGCAAGGCGAGGATTCCCTAACCCTCCTCTCAAAGTGACTTAGGCATAGCAATTATCACTTAGTTAACATAATCTCTAAACACTCATTTTTATACAACAAATACATGAATGAACTCTTGTGATAAATAAACAGTACAGACATATCCAGAGTAAACTTCCAGGAGGAGGCACTCAATATGAGCAGTTTTCTATGTATTCTTCTAAGGCTTTTTCCTGTTCTTTTACATGCATATGTCTGTATATACAAATATACGTTTTGGAGTTTTTTTGCAGAAATGAAGATAGATGTATTATTTTGCTCTAGTCACTTAACGTTTTGTCTTGGAGGGCTTTTTGGGTTAGTATCTCTTTTTCCTTTTTTAAAATAATTACTATCTACTATCCCATCATTATATGAATGGTTCACAATTTATTTAATGAAACTTCACCTACTGAACATTTTAGGTGGTTTGGTTTTTGTTGGTTTTATTATCATAAACAATTTGCTGTGCATATATGCCTTGCTAAAAGTAATTAAGGGAAGCCACACTGACAAGGTGTGGGGAGGCCTGCTGGGGAAGCTCTCATGCCCATCACTCCTCATAAATCTCAGATCCCATCAGAAGAGTGGGACCATTCTGTTTTAGCTACTTTACTCCCCAGCAGGAGGAAGAAGGCTTCCACCTCCTGTCTCCCTGCTACAGTGACTGTAATATCTCAGCCAATGAGAAGCCATGACACATGGGACTTCCACTTTACTCCAATGGACTTTTTGCTTAGAAACAGCCCTCCCAACTCTGGCATTTTCTCCTATAAAAGCCTGTTCCTCTTTGTTTTTCAGACATGCCTATGGTTCTGCTGTAGGTCATGTGTCCTGTACTGCAATTCTCTGCTGTACCTGAATAAATCCATTTTTGCTAGTAAGATAACTGACTGCTTTAATTTTAAGGTTAACAGCATATACTTTGTATATGCTTCCTTATTTCTATATGTCAGTATTCCCCCAGAATAGATGCCTAAACATGGAATACAAAGTATGCATCTACTGTAGAGCTGGAAGATATTGCCAAGTTACCTTCCATAAAAACTGTATGTACAATTTACTTTCTCCCACAGTGAAGGAGAAACCAATTTCTCACAGACTGACTCAATACATTTCTAATCTTGTTTCTCCAAGTTAAATATTTAATGAAATAGTTCAAGTGGAATATTCACATACTCTCCATGGGATGTATCCCAACTGGGTATATGGGACCAAGAATTCTCACCACAGTTGTATAAAGAAATTTAATTAGCAGAAATTATATGAAACAATATAATCTGGTGTTTGCAACTCTAGTAAGTACTTGGGAGTTGCCAGTATAAAGCAAAGCATAATTATGACCTGTAATAGGTTTGTTAAAGCATGCATTTGAATGATGAGAGCTGCAAGATTGCTAAGGAGAGCCTCTCATCAATAATAATGGCAAGATTTGACCCTTATTAAGCACAAGATTGTTGTGTCAGGCCCTGTGCCTGTACTTTGTACCTGCCACGTCTCCAAAGCCTCACAAGCCTGTGGGGTTGCTTCCGTTTGGCATCCCCATGTCACAAATGAAGACACTGAGATTCAAACAAAGTTCATGCCTTGCAAACTCTTCATCCCCACCTCGTACCCCCACTGATGCTGAATCTCCACTGTGGGGGCCAAAAAAGCTCCCCAGATGCTTTTCACACACATATAAGTGAGGACCACTTCACCTACCTGATGAAACCTTTATTTCTTTGTGGAAAAAAAAGTCCCTATAAAAAGCAGATTTCTGGTGCTCTAGTAACAATCACAAATTTGAGGATTTGTAAGTTTTTATGACATTATCTTCATTGAGAGGGCTAGGTGTCTACAGCAGCACAGACAAAAAATTAAGGGAGAAAACTGAGTCTAGACATTGGAATTTCCTAGATGTCCTCAGTGTGCAACCCGCCACCTTTAGACCTACAGCCATCAAAGTTTTATTCCCTTTCTTAGTTTTTCCAGGATGGCATTTGAGACCTTGCAGGTGCAGCAGCTTCTGTGTTTAGACTACTGAATTTGCTGGAATTCCATTTTTCCTAGCATTTCATATTCCAAAGAGTCACTTACAATCACTGCCAAATCCTTCAAACATCAATCGAGGTGTTGTTCATGTTGCATCTTTGTCCATTTTCAAAAAACAGCTGAGAATGAATGATAGACATTTTGTTATAGAGCAAACTTAGATAGGTCAGAGATGATGAAATTTCAAAAGTCAGATGGCACACATCTAACCAAGGAACGCTCCTCAACACAGGCAGTCTTGTTTGCCTCTCTGCATTACATAAGTATAATATAGGTATATATTAACACATAATATTTGAGAAATTTACAAGGTGACTTGCCGCTCTCCCTGGCTTCCTTAACACTGACTCCCATTTCCCTGTGTCGCAAACAGTCAATTACAACGCAAACAGTCAATTACAACCAAGCCTCGCTGCCCTGGGGGAGGGTGGACACAGTTTAGAGAAACAATTGAGTTCCTCAGTTGGTTTTTCTTAAAACTCTAATTGACATCATAGTTCTGAAAGCACAGGCTATCCATTTTAAGATCTGGGCTTTTTGAGACAAAAGGATTTGGGGCTGAGTGTAGGTGTTTATGAGGCCAAGCCCTAAAGGAAACTGAGCATAGAGTTGATAACAAGAAATAATCATTTTAAAAATTTTATGATTTAAGTTAGTTTCCCACACATTGGGAGAGAAAATAAGATAGACGCTAGTGGGAGGATAAAGTGAAAGGAGCCAAAAAGTTAGACATCTGGAAATGATCCTAACAAGGCCCCAACCCTGCCCAGGGGGACAGTGGACTGCAGGTGTGGGGGAGCTTGGAGGAGGTATGGCCCAGGAAGGTGGCCACCTTTTCCGAGAAGCCAGAGGCCTGGTGGGCTTAGAGGAGCTTAGGGTGGAACAAAAGGGACAGGACAGTCCTGACCCAGGAGGCACGCATGGCAGGACAAGTGATCCAGGAGGGGGACTGATGTCCAGTGACCAGAGGGCTGAGATGCACCTCAACAGATGCCAGCAGATGTCAGGGGACAACGGGGAGCAAGACTCCTGTGCCCCCTGACAGCCTACTCACACACCAGTCCTTGGGAGTGTGGGTGGAGCCTGGGAAGGACGGAAGGAGAGAAAAGGAAGAGAGGACTGAGGCAGGGCAGGGACAGGGGACAAGCATCATGGTCAACTTTTCCTGCCTATGATGAAAAATGCCAAGATCTCTACCGCACAGTAAGAACAGGAAGGGTCCCATCTTAAGGCTAAGATTCCATTTTAAAAACCAGTGAGTGAGGAGGTAGGATGCCTAACATATTCTTTGGTAATCAGCCAACAACCTATCTTAAGGCAGGGCTAGCAGTCCTAACTGACATGTTCCCAGTGCTTGGGGATAACCACTATCATGGAGAAGAACAGTATCTATAAATTCCTTGTGTTAAGTTTATCTTACAGAATTATCTAGAGGACCGACTGTGGATGGTCTCTCACCAGAGACAGTCATCATGAGACTACATGTCAAGCCTATGCCCCCCTCCCTCGGCCTTTTGCCCCATTCTTGAAAGTCTTAAAAGACAGAATCTTAAGCCCTTAAGCATGCCTTGTCTCTGAGGTTGCCCTCATTCCCCTTTCTTTAAGTGTGTACATTTTGCCTTAAATAAAGACTTTTCACTGCTCAACTTAACTGCGTTTTGTCTCTGCACTCTTCCAGTGATAAGAGTCTTTGCTACTTCACTATTTCATTCTATTTTCTAGACTTAAGCACAAGTCTTCACCCCACCCTCTCTATCCAACTCCAGAGGAGTAGCGAGGACCTGCTGAGAGTTCTGATTTGGGCTTGCAAGTTCCCGTCGCCTGGGTGACCCAGACAGGACTGCAGCTGTACAACCATGTTCCTTAGTAGCCTGCCTACAAATCTCCTTTCTTTGCCTTTGGGAAGTTCCCAGAACATAATCTCACTCCATCCAGTGCTCTGTGGCTCCCCCAAATCCTGGGGTGGTGGGGACTTGGTTCCCAGACTGTGCAGATCCAAGCAGACTCTGGACACCAGGTGACCCTAGTTTTAGAAGTTGGCAAGGGATTTGCCCTATGCTGAGCAGGAGTTCAATGAGCTTCCCTTTCCTCCTTCTGCCCTTCCTTGCTCTCTGTTGCATGCAAGGCAGCTGCCATTCCCTGCTACTCTCCCTTTATCTACACCCCTTAGACCTGCCAGAGAATTCTTTCTCATTCAGAGTCAAGAGCCCTCCCCAGCCCGGCTTGAGGTTTCACCTCATGCACAGGGAGAGACCTCTCCGGATGCAGCAGTCAGACAACAGGATGACAGAGGAAGATTCTGTTTGGAAAAAAAAAAATCAGGCAGCAATTACATTTACCTTCACCAGATTAAATTTTCTACCACCAAAAGAAAAGGGAACTGGAAAGATGGGTCCAATTATGGGAGAAATAAAGTTACATTTTTGCAGCTCAATGTTTGTGACCTTGAAATTGATACACATCACATGAATTAGGCAGTCTTACGAAATGTACCAAGGATGTTTCCTACAATTATTTGTTTAGGGAATTAAGTAAAGAGGAGAGAAGGTAGTATTTTCAAAGTTCAAGGAAGTGCTTTATGTTGGAATTAAATTTGTAAATTAAATTCTTGCTGGGGCAACACTGGCAAGAACTTTGTAAACCTAGACATGTAAAAAGAGAGGTTTAAAGCACCTTCAAGATAAAAGCTAGAAACCTAAGGGCCTGGTGGTTTGGGTGTTCCTTGCTATTGCTTTTGTTGTTTCATTCCTGACACTTATAAAAGGCTGTTGTATCTAAACGAATTCATGAAAGAGTGGTGACAGTCCCTCACTGCTTCCAGGGAAGGGAACTGGATACTTGGGTGATGGAGCTAGGAGAGAGATTTTTTTGTTGGATATCATTTTGAATTTCATACAATGCCCATTGTTATCTATTCAAAAATTACTAATTCTAAGGCCATTGAGCACATGATATCAAACTACCAGGTAGATGTTCACCTTCAGGAAGTCCAACAGCCATTTAGGAACTTGAATCCCAGAAATCTTGAGTCACAGACATGACCTTCTCATCCACAGTGTTGACAAAAAGAAAATCCTAGAGTAGCACCAGAAAAGAGTTTTATTTGAGCCCAGGTTTAGGACAGCTGCTCGGGAAAGACAGTCCTTCCAAAGAAGAAAAATGCCCTGGTGAGGAGCACTTTGTTACAAAGTTACATATGCTTATTTAACAAAGGATATTAGTTATGATATCAATAGATAATGTGTTACAGATTAATACATTCAGAGTTTTATTTTTTACCATTACCAAGGCACAAGGGGATCTTGTGAAACTATTCAGCTGCAAAGCAGACATACAATGCGATAGAATCCAGACCTGAGTACCACCTTTCGAATAAGCCCACCCACCATCTGAGAGAGACCTAGGTGTCATCTTAGGCTACAAGCATCCTCCAGAGGACATGTCAGCAAGCCACAAGCCCACCTTTCCCCTGACCCCTCCTCTCAAAGAGCCCTCCAAAAACCCTGCCCATAAAAACCTCTTGGCCTGTTAGATACCCCTTTTCCTTGTTCTGCTGGCTAGGACAGAGGGGCCTCTCTCAGGTTCAGCAATAGACCTGCTTGGACTATTGAGTTCGCATATTCCCTCTTTTCTTTCATCTATTCCCTTTTGCCCTTTTACAGTGCCTGCCTTGCAGACCACCAATCAGGTCTCTGTTTTAGATAACCCAAGTGTTAAGGCCAGGCACTTTTCAGAAGTGCCTATGCTTAGCGTTTTTTTTCTCTGACAACAGGTTGGAAGATTCAAGGATCTGCTCTTTCCAGAAATAAAAGGTAAACTCTTTCAACTTCCCAAGTCAAGGGGATATAGCAAAGCAAGATGAAAAGAGGAAAGCTTTGTGATTCCAAGGTAGACATGTCTAGGAAGGTTAAAGAAAAGAAGAGCTGATAAAAATTAAATTGGCCTACAATGATCACAACCGGGAAGTGTAAGACACAACCAGTGTCCCCACCCTGTGGATCCACCTCCTGACCTCTCACAGCTTCAGTTTTCTCATCTTTAAAATGGGAATAATGATGTCTACCTGAGTTTTTTCAAGGATTAAAGAAGACTATGCATGAAATCCATGCATACACACACACACACACACACACACACACACACACACACACAGTGTACATACAGTGAGGAGTCTGGTAAATGTTGGTACCCTCTCCTTCCAGCCTCTAGTAGAAGGATGAGAAGATTTCTTGAGAAGATGAATCAGGAGTCATGGTAAATAACTGAGGTCTCCCTGGGGAGCCAGTGGGCACAGGGCCTGGAGATTCAGAAGCAGCTAATATAGGCTAGAGAATTTCATGCCCTGCCACTGGGCTGTTCTTCCAGTGGGGAATGTTTTGAAAGAAGGGAGGAGTCCCTAGACTATCCTGTTAGGATGAAACCTGTCTTTCCGTGATGAAAAATGGTGATTTTCTCTTTTTCTCTGAATGTATGTATTTTATACAATTATCATGTATCAAAAAATGAAACTATTTAAGAGATTTTAAAAATGCAGTCACAAATTTGTCTCTCAGTTCCTACGTCTATTTCCATTGTCCTCTCCATCTAAACTCAGTGGGAACCCAAGAGGAGATGAGTCTAGAAGGGAAAACAGGTGGAGACAAGTAGAAAAGAGGGAGAGGGCAAGTCCACTCAGGACTGTGGGGAGTGCGCGTGGAAAGCAGCTCAGGGTCGCCGTGTGACTGCCTGGCTCCGCCGGCAGGAGAACTATGGTTTGTGTCACCATCCACCACTCAACTCATATCCTTGGTTCCTGCCTCTGCTGGGTCAGCTCTGGAGGAAAATGCCCATGTCATGGGAACCTGACAGAAGATTCCTGGGTTAGGCTTAGATAGGGAGGGGAGAGAAAGTCTGCATGAACTAGAACATGAGGAAACAGACTCCCTCTTATTACAGAGGGATATGGGAGGAGCAGGCACTGCAAGAGAGGAAAACTACACAGCACTGTGTTCTTCCAGAAGTTGCTTCACAAACAGTGGCTACCGTCCTTTTTCCATTTCATCTGCTCTGGTCAGGTCTCCACCCAGAAACCTGGAGAAATCTCAACTGGATAGTTAAGTAAGCAGATACCACCTCTTTGGCTTCAGGGTAAGAAAGGGAAGTTTTATGAAAAGAGAAGAAAGGAAAAAACAAAGCCTCATGTTACGCAGCTGGGGAAGTTGCACTTTGCCCCACCATGAGGATCCCATGCTGTCAGTTGTAATTCCTGGGTGAAGCATTTCCTCATGAGAGTGCTCGGGTCTCCTGCAGCCTTCCCTGGCGATCCGGCCTCTGGGGAGCTGAGTTCCTCCCTTCCAGTTTGCTTAATGGCAGGAAAGTGCAGTAAGAAGGCCTCCCTGTGAAGAAAGAGACCCAGATTCCGGCCCTCACCTCTCTTTCATAACAAAACCAGAGGCAAGTCAGGCTCTGCTCTGGGCTTCATGTGACAAATAAGAGAATGGACTCCTCCAAACAGTAATTCAAGACCCCTCAGAGGGCCACAGGATCCTCAAAAAGGGTCAGGCATGCTGTTAACCTAGCTGGTGGGTCTTGTACCGTTGGTGAGGCCTTGGCGCTTGTACTCAGCTGCCGAAGCAGATACTTCCCTATAGATGCCTCACCTCATTAGAGTTCATTGCCTTGAAGTGTGTCCACTTCACCTTTGGTTTCTCCTGTAGGGAAGTTCATCTCACCTTCTAGAACATTCCATCCCCTTCCACACTGAGCTGGACAGAGGTCACTGTCAGTGATTCTTCAGTTAGTGATTGTATTAGTTTCCTATTGCTGCTGTAACAAATCACCACAAAGTTACATTGTGTCCTATAACAATACACATTTATTCTCTTAAAGTTCCCAAGGTCAGAAGTCCAAAGCTGCTTCACAGAGCTGACATGAAGGTGTCTTCAGGGCTATGCTCTTTCTGGAGGCTCTGGGGAAGAAACCATCTCCTTACTGTTCCCAGTTTCTAGAGATGCATTCTTGGTGTTCCTTGACTCGCGGCTTCTTCCTCATCTTCAAATCATCTTGCTTTGGTTTCACCTTGCCTTATTCTCTTCTGTAGTCAAATCTCCCTCTGTCCTCTCCTATAAAGACACCTATGATTACATTTAGGGTCCAGCCAGATAACCCAGGATAATCTCTCCATCTCAAGATCCTTAATTTCATCATATCTGCAACATCCTTTTTTCATGTAAGGTAATAGTCACAGGTTCTGGGGATCAGGATGTGGACATCTCGGGAGCCATTATTCAGCCTACAGTGGTCATCCCTACCTTGTCTCAGGCCTGGGAGGTCATCCACTCTCTCTCCCAAACTTCTTGCTTTGGAATACAGTTATGTATTTTTTGCCAAAGACCACACCCTAATCTCCCAGGCTACCCTGATACCCCCTTCTTTTACTCCCTTTAGGCCCTGAGAATATTTGAAGACAGTGCAATCCATGGAACTTTTATGATGATGGAAATGTTCTATATCTGCACCATCCAAAATGGAGCCACCAGCCACAGCACTTGAAATGTGACCAGTGCAACTGAGGAGTTCAATTTCAAATTTTAGTTAATTAAATTTCACTAAAAGTTAAATAACCACTGGTGGCTAGTGGTTAATATATTGGACAGCTTAGATCTAGGCAGATGAAAAGCAGAAGCTAAAACCAATCAGGCTCTTTGCTGCTAGCCTCTTCTCACAGCTTTTAGGATCAGCTCTGCCCCCCACCTCCTGTGGAATCTGAAGGAGGTTTCTACCTGGCTCTGGGATGACAGGGGCGGCTGAGAGCAGGGCAAGGAAGGAAATTGTATCTGTTGGCTACAGAAAGGTACCAGGTCCCAGTTCTGCTTTTGCCTCAGACTAAGCACATTAAAACGATTTTCAAGGGGGCCCCGTCTTTGCCCTACTTACACAGTGGTTGTTCTTTTGGGGACACTAAGTGTGTCACAAGTGACATAGAAAGGTGACTGGAGGAGCCAAGATGGCAGGGTGAGTAGGGCAGCAGAAATCTCCTCCCAAAACCATATATATTCTTGAAAATACAACAAATACAACTATTTCTAAAAGAGAGAACAGAAGATACAGTACAACAGCCAGGCTACATCTACACCTGCGAGAACCCAGTGCCTCAAAAAGGGGGTAAGATACAAGCACCGGCCCGGCGGGACCCGAGCATGCCCCCCACCCCAGATCTCCGGCGGGAGGAGAGGAGTCGGAGCAGGGAGGGAGAGGGAGCTCAGGACTGCTAAACACCCAGCCCCAGCCATCTGCACCAGAGCGCAGACACACAGTGCATGGTGTGCTGGATACTAGGGAAATGAGACAGTAAAACCTGCGAGGGGTTCCCATGCCAGCGCCCCTGGGACAAAAGAAAAGTGAGTGCTTTTTGAAAGTCTTAAAGGGACAGGAGCCTCACAGCTGGATGGAAGTGTCCTAGCACACTCAGCCCAGCAACTGGGAATCCTGGGGAACTCAGGGCACCCTAGCCCCCTGGGTAGCAGCACAGCTCTGAGGGCCCTCACTGTGATAAACAGACCCCGCCTGTTCCCCCTCTGGTGCAGCCCCGCCATAGCGGAGCAGCAGCCTGAGACTGGCCATGCCCACACAGCCACGCAGAGTATCCTCCCTGCCCCCTGCAGCTGCCCGGGCCACACTCAGAGAACCTGTCGGTGTGCAGCTGCCCAGCACAAGCTGCTAGGGGTTGCCATTCTTCCAGGA